CTGGATTTGCCGAGTCCCCTAGTGGACCGACCCAACATGGAGCGGGTCCACTAGGAGGTGGATGCTAGCACCTTTTATTTGGTCCAGGTGTGGCTCTGAGGATTCAAACCCAATCTCAGAGGGCAGCGCTTGGTTGCATTTTCCAGGATTGTGGACCTGACCTCATCTCTGGAACTTGGTTGCAAACCTTGACTACCCCTGGACCTTGGTCCTCAAACTGCAGGTTGGGTTTTCCACGCGGTATTCATTTGCTGCTGTCTCTAACAAATGCTGCAAGTTGGGTGGGAGTGATGACAATTCGAGTCTCAGAGCACCAGTGGCTTCCCTTGTGTAACATACAACCAAGGGTCAGCACAAAGAGGAAAGGTTCGTTTTGGCTCACTGGGTTGGACAACCTAGTTCCCAGCTGGCAGCCCCACTCCCACACACACAGGCAGTGGTGAGAGGCCGTCACCTCCCGGCTGGGGACATGAAAGGACAGGAAGCTGTATGGGCTGTCATGGTCTCCTGGAAACGTACACTCCCAGTGACATGAAGACCTCCCCCTTTAGGCCCTGTCACTACCCAGAGGCAGCAAGTAGGGACCGGGAAGGTGACACGTGGGCCCTCAGGGACACTCTAAGCCCAGAGCCCTCCCAGAAGTCTGGCCTTCTTTGGTCCAGAGGCAGCACCCTCAGAGGGCTTCTCCCTGTCTGTCTGCGCTTCCCTTTTGGGAAGGACACTGCCCACCCGGGGTGGGGGAGACCACCTCGTAAACATATCTGCAATCACATTCTTTCCAGAGGTCACAATGGGCTGCACTTGGGGGTAGGACTTTGCCATACGAATTTGGGGACAGCATAAGCCCAGCATAGTGAATGCGAAGTGGTATCTTCGGGACACTGACCTGCACTGTGCTGTGGACATGAACTAGGAAAGTGGGCCAGGACTTGGCCTGTAGCGTGACAGAGTCACGTTGGAACATGGCCTGACTTCAGGCCCAGACGTCGGCCTTGAACAGGACAGAGCACTCGGACCCAGGCTTTAGTCCTGGATTTGAACCTTGGGACATCCGACTTCAGAGCTGAGCCTCCTGCACAGACGTGTGACTCAGAACGTATTATACAGGACCCAGAACCGGCTCCTGCAGCTCAGAGGTGGAACTCATTTAGTACTAGATTTTTAGTGGTGGCTATTTCTGTTTGAGACAGCATTGTGGGGTCACTCAGGTTGGCTCTGAACTTGTGGCGATCTCTTGCCTTAGCCTCCTGAGTGCTGGGAACACAGGTGTGCCCCGCCACGCCCGGCTTAGTCTTGGGTATTGAACCTAGACTCAAGATGTAGATTTAATCTGGACCTTGGAATAATTTAAGATTTGAAGACTGGACCTATAACTGGGCCTCAACTCGGATCTTGGGCATCTGCGCTGGCCCTGTGACCTCAGCAAGAGCAGCCCCCTTAAAATGGGAGAAATGCACGACCTGAGGAAGTGGGACGAACCGACTATGAGAATGAGGTGGGCCCATCAGGCAGGTGCCCACATGGGCCTGGCGGGGCAGAGACAAGGACACGAGACAAGGCTGAGAGGAGGTGACGGACAGGTGCCGCATGGGTTGGAGTCCCGAGGAGGATAGACTGAGAGAAGGGTGAACTGCAGCCCAGGCTGATGACCAAAGTGGCCCAGAGAGGGAGTCCAGCCACTGAGGGGGCGGCCTGCTGGGCAGCAGCACCTCCTGGGCACCGAGGAGATGGAAGGCCCAGGGCGCAGCAGACACCTTCAGAGTCCAGCAGAGGGCGTCCTGGCACCCAGGCCAGGCAAGCACACGTGGGCAGCATCCACACGCTTTAGCCCATGGTGCTTGGGCAGCAGCCTTGCACAAGGGGACCTGCCCGAAACCCGAGTGCTGTGATTCACTCCTGGGATCCACACTGCCTTGTGTCCCCCACCCACAGGCACTCAAGCTTGGCCATGGAGGCATTGGCGAACGGGACATAACACAAACGTCATACCCCTGAATGTGGCTTGCCTCTTGCAGCACAGAATTGACAAGTGCTATCACCCAGCTCAGGACCAAAGGCCATGTGAGACCCCAGTGGACGCAGTCATACGCACATTTGCAGGAGAACCAGCAGAGCCACCTGCTGCCCCACAGACACTGAGAAAAAATAAGCACTGTTGTTGTAAGCAACTACATGTTTCTGCTTTGGGAAGGGTGAGACAGGGTCTTGCAATGTAGCCCAGGCTGGCCTCAAACTTGCGGCGATCTTCCTGCCTCAGCCTCCCAAGTGCTGGGATGACAGGTGTGCACCACTGTGCCTGGCAGACACTGACTTTATTAAGGAAGATGGGCTAGAAGGTGCTTCTGGGTTTGCTGCTTCTCCTGGGTAAGTCCTTGAGGAAGAAGTGGCTCTCTGCCATTTCCTTTCTAGGCACCAGGAATGTCCCACAGAGAGGCAGATTGACAGCCAGGCCCTGGAGGGTGTGATGCAATGTGCCAGATGCCTGGGTGGTGGGGGTGGCAGCAGGCAGCGAAGACGCCACCAGCCCAGGCTTCCAGCTGTTACGAGACAGCACTGGCCGAAGGCAGAAGAGCGAAGGCCAGTGTTGCTGCTGTCACCGTGCACAGCCAGGGCTCTGGCGCTGGCCCGGGTTTGGTCCAGTTGCACAGTGGATGCCACCCTCCGGGCTATACTGCACAGGGCCGAGGCGTAGCCGGGGCTCCTCCTCCTCATACCAGCGCTGCTCACTGAAGTCGGGGAAGAAGGCTACGATCTCCCTGCTGGCTGCCACGGTGCAGTCTGGGTCCAGGGGTGACAGGGTGGGCAGGGTGGGTGAGGAGGCACCACAGGGCCAAGACCCGGCCTCCTCCCCTGCCTGCGCTCTGGCCTGGGCCAGGTAGGGAAAGCCCAGGTTCCTGCTCTGACCTCATTGTTTTTTTCTTTTTTTTAGTACTAGGAATAAAACTCAGGGCCTTGTGCTTGCCAGGCAAACACTTACGCCCCTGCGCAACATCTCCAGCCTTGGTCCCTTCTCTGGTGGGTCAGAAATGCTCCAAAGTACAACCTGGCTATCACCTTTACTATGCAGCCCGTCCTCCAAACCTGAGACATTTTTTCTTTTTTGTATTTTCGAGAAGGGTCTACAGGGTGTTCAGGGTCTCACTACTAGATTGGACTTGTAGGGACCAAGGAGATGGCTCAGTGGAATAAGCGCTTCCCTGGCAAGCCCTGAGTTCAATCTCTGGCTCTGCAAAAAAGAAAAAAAAAAGACTGGACTTGTAGTGATTCTCCCGTTTACAGCCTCCCAAGAGCTGGGATTACAGGTGCGCACCATCATGCCCAGTCTCAACTGCCGTCTCAGCACATTCCGGGGCTGGGTCTGGCATGGCAGGCCCAGGGATCGAACCCCCGGCCCCTATGCCTGCTTGCACCAGCTTTAATCTGCTAAACTATTTGGCAGGCCCTAAAACCGAGATTTTTTTTTTTTTTTAGCAGTGCTGATGATTGAACCCAGGGCCTCTGCACTGAGCTACAGCCCCAACTCATATATTTTTTTTTATTTTGACACAGGGTCTCACTAAGTTAGTAAATTGCCCAGCCTGACTCAAATCCTCCTGCCTTGGCTTCCCAGAGCACTGGGATTATAGGCTTGCGCCCCCACACCTGGCTCCATTCCTTTCCGGCTGTTGGAGGAAGACTGACCTGAGCCGTGGGTGGTGTTGCGGGTGTCAGTGAGCCCAAAACTCCCGCGGATGGAGTCTGGGGCTGTGTGGCGAGCTTGGAACACTCGGGTGGGTCCCATCAGCGTCCTCCAGAGCTGGACAGCGTCCTCGTGGGCCAGGATGTAGGCCCGGATGGGACCGCTGTGAGAGAAAGGAGCGTGTTGGGGGCTAGCCACTGGCCCAGGAGTGCGCGCCCTGCATGTCTGCATCCTCAGCAGGAGACAGAGGGCTGCTGCTGACCAATCAAGAGACCAGCACGGCTGCTGGGCAATGTTCTGGCGCAGGCTCCTGCCCGTGGCCACCGCAGGTGCCTCCCAGGGCGCCGCCAGTTGGGTCAGAGCCGAGCCACGGCCCTTCAGCCTCAGCACAGTCACACCCGCATGGAGGGCAAATGAGACAGTGAACAGCTCTGTGTGGGGCGGAGGGGGCAGACGCAGCGATGCGAAGGGACAAGTACCTGGCCATGAACTCCACCAGGCGCTGGTAGAAAAAACGCCCTACAAAGAAAGGAGACTTTGTCACAACAGTGCTACTCCTCGGTGGCAGAGTCACACCCCACTTCAGAGGAAATGAGGACTCCGTGACCTGGCGACCGTGGGTCTTAACCCCAGCAGTTCTGGTGGATTCACTAATTAGATCATGAACTAAGTAAACGACCTCCCTCCTGGGTTCCCTGACAGGTACAGGCAACGAGCCTGCCCTGAAGGTCAGAGGGAGATGCAGGAAGAGCGGCACCAGGGCAAGGCCTGCTAGGGCAGACCTCCACCAGCGTGCGCCACGGCACGGGAAAAGACGCTTCTGGCTGGGACCGCGGGATCTGACCTTCCCAGGAGAATAAGACGCTGGCGGTCATGCAGTCTGGTATGACCGACACTTGGGAGCCTGGCTTTGACCCTCCAGCCAAGACCCTGTCCTACCCTCGTGTTCTCGGTAGAAGCGCCGGCAATCCTCCCTCTTCCAGAGTAGTTCCCGTGTGCGCACGATGAGGAACTTGTGGCTCAGGATCTGCTGGTGAATGGCCTGGCAGGCGGTCGACATGGAGGGCTGAGTCAGGCCGAGGCCAGCCGCAGCAGAGCGGCCGAGGCCCCCTTGGAACACAGCCGGAGGTGGGGCCCACTGCAGGTCGGGGATGGCGGGGTCCCGGCCCTTGCTCACAGCAGTGCGGGACCCTCAGGGAGAGGGGACAAGGGTTGCCCACGCCCTTTGAGCCCACGGAACAGACCAAGCAGGCTACCATGGAAGTTTTAGGGGTGGTCCTGCTGGGATCTCCTCTGTCCCCCAATCATCACACTTGATCAGTCAGAAGTGCTGTGCAGGCTGGGCATGGTGGCGCAGGCCTGTAATTCCAGCACTCAGAGGCTACGGCAGGAGGAGTGCTGTGAGTCCAAGACCAGCCTACGCTACAAAGTGAGACCCTGCCTCCAAAGAAAGAAAGAAAGGCTTGGTGGATAGCTCGGTGACATTAAGTGCCTGCCTGGCAAGTCAAGGTCCTGAGTTCAATCCCTGGTACTGCAGAAAACTATGTACATATCACACTCTGGCCAGAGGCACAACTATTTTAATTTTTAGTACTGGGAATTAAATTCAGGACCTTATGATTGCCAAGCAGCTACTTAATGCCACTGAGCCCCTTAACCTTTAGTGCGGCATTCAAGGCTGCCTTTCCCTGTACCTCGCTTCCTGTTCTCTGGATCCAGGAAGCCTAGACTCCTGTGCCTAAAACCCAGCTGCCCTAGTCCCCACTTCCAGGGTCGAGTTGTGCCCACCTGCCCATCACTATAGCCCAGCCCCTCCTTCTCTGCTCCCTACCACAGTAGGAGTGCTCAGCAATACTTACCCACCCTCAGCAGGCAGGGCCCTACAGGGACCCTTCCCTGTTTCTCACCTTCTTCTTTTT